CATAATTGATACAACTACACATAGCTTGCAATTAAACTCAAATTTCACAATAAATTGAAATAATAGAACTTGTAGTTGTGGAAATCAACGAATATGTCACCGGAAAAATTAGTCTTTCACCCGAAAGTACCCTCACCCGTAAACCCAAAGACAACTACCAAAAACACTGAAATTGAAAAATACTTTGCAATTAATGTAACATCCGGATTTTCAGGGACATTATTGTGTATGTTAATCTTGAGATTGAAGGAGAGACTCGACGAGTAGAGGGACCAACTCGCCGAGTCGAGTCGAGTTGCTCGCGTGGATTTAATGAGTGGACTTGACGAGTCAGAGGAGGGACTCGCCGAGTAGGTGCTGTTTAGAGAAACCAATAATTGTCCGGGTTTGTGACCTATTTAAAGGCCCTTATGGCCTTCATTTGCGGCTACACTTTCCCTTGAGAGACCCTAATCGATCCAGAGAGCATAGAGAGAAAGAGGGAGCTAATTTTCATCATCTTGGTGCATTCTTGCAAGGAAGAAGGAGAGGGTTCAAGCTAAGCTGACTTGAGGGGCTCAAATCTTTTGCTATTTCATTCAAGGCTACTGTTTAAGGTATGAATCCATACCTGTTCTCGTATGAATAGTAGATCTCATGAAATTAGGGTTTCTTTACCCTCTCTTAAGTTGAGTTATGGAATATGTGAAGTCCCTTTGAGGCTTAGACATCAGATCTGGACCTTGAGAGGTCCAAAGAGTCCCAAGAACCTAGCTTTATGCAGCCACATAAGAGTATTGAGCCTAAGACACCATTATGGAGGTTATTTTATCAAATAGAGCTAGATGTGTGAGGCATGGACATAAAGATCGAACGTTTACGTGATTAATGAGCCTTGTGAGCATAGATCTGAAGTTTGGGAAAGTATCTTGCAATAAAATGGTCTGAATGCAAGAGAGTCTGAATAGACTCGTCGAGTTGAGCCGCTGACTCGGCAAGTAGCCAGGGTTTGGTCCCGATGAACTGAGTCAGGTGGTGACCCGACAAGTTAGGGGTTAGCTCGTCGAGTTGGAGCTTGCTGTGGTTGCCATGAATTGACTGGACTCGACGAGTCTCCCGAGTGCACTCGACGATTCTGGTCAAAGTTGGAGTTGACTTTTGTTGACTTTAGGGTTTGGTCAAGATGAGTGAAAGAGGTCAGGAGGGGTAGAATGGTCTTTTACCCATCTGAGAGAGCATAGGAGGGGAATAGTCTAGCCTTTGAGAGCCATTGTTAATTAGAGGTAATTTATGTATGTGATTAGGCGGAGGCTAGATCAGTGTTTCGAGTTCGAGATCATCCGAGGTTACCCGAGGTGAGTCTTCTCACTATACTTTACCTTGAGTGGTAGTTATGTGTGACCGGAAGGTCTTATGTGCTTACATTGATTATTATGTTATCCTGCCTTATGTTTTATGTTGTGCATTATTTCTTTGTGATTTATGCCATGCAGAGCTTTACAGACTGGACCGGTGGGTCCAACAATTTATGAGGCCAGAGGGCCCTCAACCAGACTGGACCGGAGGGTCCAACGAGCTAGATCGGACCAGAGGGTCCAACGAGCTATGGGACTGGAGGGTCCTGCTGAGACACATTGACCGGAGGGTCTTACAGAGTATAGCCTCGAGTGGCGAATTTGTTGTATGTGGTATTTTGGGGAACTCACTAAGCTTCGTGTTTACCATGTTATGTGTTATGTGTTTCAGGTTTTGTCAGGATCGCGGGACGGCACCGGCTTGATTGTACACACCAGAGAAGGAATTATGTTTCGAGGATCATGGATTATTAATTAATTAAACATGGAGTGCGTTTTGTAAATTAAAGAAATGAGATTTATGAAATGTGTTATGAAGATTATATGATTTAAAATGAAAATTTTGTTTTAAAAATTTGCATCGTTACAAGTTGGTATCAGAGCCTTGGTTTGAGGGATTCGGATGCACCTCCGGTGTGTTTGAACTCAAACTGAGGAATTGAGAAAGATTTTCAAAAGAGATAAATTTTCCTAAAAATGAGAAAGAGTTTAAGAGAAAACGAGTTAGAGCAGTGTGTACAATCAGCCAGAACGCGAACGGTGATTTCCCAAAATACCCTTATTTTTGTGTTATGAGATATTATGCATGCTAGAGATAGGCTAGGTATTACATATTTTTGGTCTAGAGTTGCCTGATTTGTGATGCCTTAGCCGAGGAGTTGTTGTTATCTGTGATGTGCTCTTGAGTATGTGCGGAGAAGAGTAGTTAGATACCTTGAGAGGTAGGATTGCCTGAGTCGGCAATGTCTTTTGAGTTGGGAATAGAGCAAGAGGAAGTATATGCCAGAGTGGCTTTATGTGTTAGTAGGGGTCATTCGATGGCCGAATGCTGCTTGCTTCGTGCTTTGTGGAACTCTTGATGATGGGAGACAACTACTAAGTGAATATGACGATATTCAGGAGGTAGATAGCTGGCATCATGAGGAGTTCTTCAGCAGCTGATGGCAGAGAAGTGTGAGAACCTAGGAAGAGCCTAGGGAGTGGACTTAGTCAGATGAGTACGCTGGCGGAGGAGAGTATTCGCTGGAGGGCGAACTTGCGTATCGAGAATGGTGATCAAGAAGGTTGAACAAATACTTAGGAAATCTGGGACGATCTGTGTGGAAAGTATGGGTAGATG